CCCAAGTTTGATATTGCTAGTACTTCCACGATTGAAATAAGTGAGGCCCATTTCTCAAATCCGAGCATTACTGTCCCCCGTTAATTTTGTATGAAATGTCTGTTACTTTATAGTAAACAAGTTTAATTATTATTTTGTGAATAATATGAGAGTATTAAGACAATAAGGAAATACACTAGAGTGTAGGGAATTCACATCCCAGCATACCAACATCAAGGAACATCAAACTCCCAGCGGGGCATACATCAAACTAAGAAAAATTAATTGAAAGGTCGTGACCCAATGCTGCAAGATGGCCTGCACACATATTTACTTCTCTAAACACATGCTAAAGATGGATGTGGGGGATTTCTGCCAAGATCTCCCTACAAGTTTAATTCTTGTTTGAAATTTGATGTTTTGCCTTATGACTTGTACATGTTTCAGAAATCTTATCGCCTTTTTATGTCAGACTTTGCTTAGCGTATACCCTGATTCATCATCCTCCATTACACACCATTTAAAAAATTAAAATCTTATGATTTGTAATGAGAAGCGCAAAAGCTTAAACACCTTGCAATTCATATTTATTTCTGTTTTCAAACAAATTGATTGCACTTTCATCATCCAAACTAAAAAAAAAGACAAAAATCATCCTCCATTCAAACCCAAAATTCAAAGAGATTGAAGCTTAAGAACCACCACAGAAGAAAAAAAAAAAGAAGCTAAATTTGAGTGAAGAAAAATAAAGAAAAATCGAGAAAAGATACTGGTTCATGAAACTCCAAACGGTTCCTATGAACTCAAAAATCTAAGTTCACAAGAACCTAGGGAGATGGGTTTGCTGTGAAACCCTGCATCTGAGTTTGTCTTGAAACCCAAAAACTTAACTTAGATAGATCCTCTGCATAGCTTTGTAGGGTTGGTTTTTGCACTTTTTTGAGGAAATTGAAGAAATTTTGAAGAAAATTCGAGAGCAAGAAGAAAATTAGGGGAGAAATCTTTTGATAGGGATTTAATGGAAAAAAAAAAAAGAAAAAGAAAAAAGAGAAATTTTGAGAATTTTTTTAAGCAGCAAGAGAGATATTGTTCTTCTTGATTTCCAAAGCTGGTAATTGGTTAAGGCAAAATTTTTGGCACTTGTTGGTGCCTATGCCATAGGATATGAGTTTCATTCTTTCAAAGGAAAATGTAGTAGAGAAGGCAAACACAGTTGGGTGGATTAGGTGGAGTTGGTAGCAGAGGAGCAATGGGAAATAAGGAGGTAAGACAATTGGTAGCAAAGAAGGGCCGGAGATGGAGGAGAAAGAGTAATACAGAGAGAAAGAATTGATTCCCTCCGCCGGTAGAGACTTCCAGCATGGGTGATTTCACAGATTGGGTTGTCAGGCAACATAGATGTTTCCCTGGCGGTGATTGGGTCGAATTGAGGATGCCAAAAGGAAGGAGGCTGAGAGAGATGAAGGGCATGTAGAGGGATTTGTGACAGTTCACTAAACTCCGCTCCAGTCATTGTCTTGTGCAAGACAAGCCCCGGATAAGCAAATCCTAGCTAGTTAATGTATTTTAATCTCCAAATTGCAGGTGTATAACATAGTGTGCTAGTTGAGAGGATAAACTTATCATGTCCCTTTTATGCCTTTGTAAGATGTCCTTGTGAACAAATGGAATTTCTGTTTATTTGTAATTTAGTCACCATGGGAAATTGGCAATTTTTGCTGCTGTCTCAGTAGCTTAATTAGGAGAAAATTAGTGACTGGTATTGGCTAGTGCTTTTAATATGACTTCCTTTTCCATTGAAAGATGCACGCCAGAGAAGTTGTGCACATCTTTCCTATGCTTTTGCCTTTCAAAAAAAATTCCTATGCTTTTGCATCTGCACCTTATATACTAGCAAACTAGTTAGGTTTTAGATTAATAATTTCCCCTTCCTATATTGAGCTCCTCGTGCTGTTTCCTAGTCATACTATAAATCCCAGTCATCTGTGATTACAATCTTTGGATTTTAACATCTTATTTCTGTCTATGATTATCTTTATAAGTGCCCATTTTGAGCACAAAATATATGATCCCCAAGTGCACAAAATCTTTAAGGTGTGATGAGATGCAACCCATTAATTCTTTATATCAACTTTATATGAAAGATACATCAAAGGCAACGCTACTTTCAAGCCACGAACCAAGCAAGAAAACAAGATATCAAAAGAAGGAAACTATTTATCACAAAATAAAGAGATTGAACAACGGTCAAGAATATCAAAAAAAAAAAAAGAAGGAAACTATTGATTATAATTAAAGCTTAATGACTGAGCAACATTGAAAGGCAACGTTCCTGTACATAAGTTTAGACATATATTAATGAGCTGAATTTATAGTTGTGTGGGTATATATATATTGATGCTTTGTACAGAAACTATACAGTGTATTCAATTTAATATTTTTAAAACTGTCTTTTCTTTAGTTTTCTCCACATTATTCTTAATTTTAAATTTCATAATTTATTTAAATTTATCATTTCTTGATTTTTATTTCTTTAGAAATGAAATACAAATCATTTTCAAGCTCTCAAATCTCAATACCTGTCAAGTACTAATTCGATTCTTCCCATTTTCTCTCCTGCTTTATACTAATTCCATTTTGTCATATTGGATCTGGAGACTGCAATGCAAAGCATACCCAATTTGAATCAATTCTTTATCCTAAATTCTCAGTTCTTTTGTGCATATTCCACCCATTTTTTTCCCTAAAGATTTGTGAACTTATTAGCAAATTATGTAAATAATATATGTAAATTAATATATATCAACTCATATAATAAGATTTTTCAACTTCTTTTTACCTTTATACCATTTGGAAATTGATAGTATTACCAATCAAATAAAAATATAAATAAGTTATATGTATTGTTTTTGAATAATTGAAGTCAACTCCTAGGAGTTTAGTCAACCCAACACTCTACAAAAATTAAGAGGGCCACGCTATCTCAAGTGATGCAAGGATAAAACGACCCTCCCTCTGTACTTGCATTTGAAGCAAAGTTATGAGGTAATAGGGTCGAAAATACTTACGATTATTGGTGTTTGGTAGCCCAGAAAATGCACGCCTATGCATCTGCATACGTGAACTCTCTATTTTTTCTTCCCCAAATTTGCTACATTATCACCACATCACTTATTGGTGTCTCTTTTATGCTTCGGATAGAATTTCTCGATTTGTATGAATTACTCTCCCCAATCTTTTTTACTTGTCCCTGGACCTTTTACGTGTTGTAATTGTAAAGGAATTTTTTTTTTTAGAGTGTACTGTTTTACCATTTATGTTATACTACAAAATACTAGTTATATTTCTTAGTATTTGAGATTATTTTAATTTTTATAATTATATACAGTCTAAATAATAAACACAATTTTTTTATGTTATTTTTTTTATGTCATTTGACTTAGATGTTTGAAAGTTTTCATATTTACCAAATCTAACCATTTCAACTCTAAAATACGGCAAGCATTTAAGGAAATCACTAATCATTGAATTAAAAGGTTTTTTTTTTTAATTTTAAATTATACAATAAAAAATAATTTTTATCATCTTTTAACATATTTCATTTGCATATTATATAATTCAAATATAAAATATTTTATTTTTACAAAAAAAAAATTATTAGAGTTTTTTTAAATCATTAACAATTAAAAATTTTTTTAATGCTTTTTAATAATGAAGAAAATTTATTTATATAATAATTAATATTTCATAATTTAATACAATTTAAATTATTAAATATTAGATTCTTTTATTTATATTAGACAAGCCCATGCCTGAGGTAACAGGCAACTGAGAAAATTCATACGCACACATGTCCTTGGAATTTCTTTCCCTCTGTTTGTCAGGATCTATGATTTGGATAGCATGAGTACAACAGGTAACTAAACCCTTCACACCCGTCAACTGCAGACAGGGGGAAAAAAGTGCTATCCAGGCCCAATATCAAGCCGCTTGATAGAAACCTCTAAAATATTTTTTTTTTATTGGGTTTTGCCTTTTGTTTTGGTGGGACAGCCCCACCCTTTTAATTTGCATATCACCAAAGGTTAGTGGGATTGCCATCATGGGTTTGAATTTTACACAAGTGGATTTTTTTCCAAATCGCCTCCCCACAATGGCATTGGCTAAAGCCGTCGGATTTTTCTCATCTCATCCACCTCCAAAATGAATTATTGGGCTAGTTTCCTTCTTTCTTCTTCTTCTTTTTCTATAATGTTGCTAGTATTCTTTTAGAAGTATGTCATATTTGATTTATCTATCAAGAAATAATTGATATAAGTAACTTTTAATTCAAAATTATCACAATCAAGTGACGTTTTAAGAAATAATTGATAGCTGTCTTTAAATAAATTATAATTCAAATCACATTTAGTGGGTATGAATCACATGATAGAAGGGACTATGCAGGTTTTTTAATCCAAAAGGAAGAAATTAATTAAAATGCTAAATAGAGTAAATAGTACCCGCAGTCCGCAGATTCATTTGATATCTCCACAAAGTTTATACAAATTAAACCCAACTTAATTAAACACTACTTATAGTAATTACTATTATACTATATGTTCTCAAAATTAAAGACGGTATTTTATTTATGATAATCAGGTAATACTAAGTACATCGTTACAGAATTCTGTAATCAAACTGAAGCTTGTGAGACTTTTGTAACTACCTTACCTTCAGCGGGAGCGGCTCTCATTTCACCGCTAACGGGGACGCCGACACCTTGATATTGAGGTGGCAACACCATGCCACCGGGGGCGGTGTAGTACACCTGCCTATCGTAGGCTGGAATCTGGGTGTAGCCCTGTTCGTTTACCCCTCCGCTCTGCCTCATCATCTGCTGTTGCACTGATGAAATTTGGGGTGGATGATTGGGTGCGGCTGCCGCCACGTTGTACACCGGATGTTCCCGGTATACCTCGGGGGGCATTCTTTGGACATTTGTGTAGTAACCTTGACTGGGTTGACCGGTCATCACCTGTCGAACCATTGGTGCGGGTGATGCAGATGTTGGTGCCGGAGCAGGGGCTTGGGTAGGGATTGGTGAATGTGCATGGTACACGGTGCCTGGTGGTGGTGCCGGAATCATGTATACCTGATGCTCAGATGGGTGTGTTGGGGCTACACCAGTGGGAACGGTGGGCGGGTACCCTGGTGCTGGAATTTGCTTCTCCGGCCAGTATCCTGCAGGAGCAGGTACCTGTTGTTGTACTGCCATCTGTAAAGTAACCGGTGGCGCCTTTTCCGGTAACTTCTGAGCGTAGTATTCTCCTGCGTAAGTCACTGAATTATTCTCATCGCTCTTCTTTCTGTACATGACTTGCGGTTCTGGCTCCCGGATTTGCATCCTCTGCATCTGCAACTCGTGTAGCTGCCTCTGTACTTCCATAGAATTTAGAACATGATCGGACACGACGACTTCAGGGATCGTCGGAGGAGGAGGCGACGGCTGCGCCACCACTTCCGGGACAGGAGCGTGAACTTTTACCGGCGGCGGTGGGGTCATCCCCTTTTCAAGCCCAAACAAGAAATCCACATTATTTTGTGGAACAGCCGCATTTTTCTCCGGTCCCTGACCCGGACTCGAATTCAGAGCCTCCACGAACCGTTCCCGCTCCGATTTCCCCCCATCGGATGAAAAACTCGAGTTGGGCCCACTCACCGGGAATACAAAAAGCCGCATCCTCGCTGGCTTAGCGGAGGGTCTGTACATCCGATCGTACTCGAGCATCATGTGATCCAGATCATCATCGTTCGTCACCGAAATCAGCGCGTCCAGATCCTCACCGGGAAGCTGGTACTTAAACGACACCTCAGATTCGCCGCCGCAGAGAGCAGACAACTTCGAAATCATAGAGGAGAACTTGATGCTGCGATCGACTGAGAGGATCTTCGTTTCACCGCCGATGTACGAGAGCTGGTTATCGTGCGGGCGCGGTTGGATCTTGCCGCCGTAGCTGCACATAAACTTGGCCTTAAAGTTCTGATCCTCCCATGGCGGCGGGTTCTCAAACTCGATTTCCCGAGACCGCGGCGAAGAGTTGCCGGAGTCCGGATAGGAGTTATAGGTTGGGGGGTAATTCTCCATGATCTGAAGCAGAAATTTCAGAGAAAATACAGCCGACGGTGTTGTGATATTCTGTTAGTCCATGGAAAGCAAAAATCTCGACGGGGATATTTGGAGGGATTGGATTCAGGGAAGTATGATATAATCACCTATGAGTGCGTGCGTTGTGCATGCGTTATGGTTGTGGATGACAGGTGGCGGGGTGAGGGGAAGGGAAGATGGAGGGAGGGTGAAACGGGGTTGGGGGGTGGGAGCCATAAGCGTATGATCCGATGCTAGCAAGACTTTGGACGGGAGTGGTGGGACCGGGGAGCACTGATTGGGGGGAAGGGATAAGAGTGTGATGGGTGTTGACTGGGATTGGACTGTAAAACGCGTCTCGTTGTTCATTGGGTCATGTTTTTCACGGGTCAAGTTAATACAGTACGTTTGTTCAATTTTGTCTAATTTTATTAATTTATAATTATTAAAATCATTAAAAAATAATAAATTTTAAATTATTAAATAATAAATATTTATTATTTTATTTACTATTTATTATAAACTATAATTATTAGTTGCTTTGCACCTGGATCTAGAGGCTCACTGACATTAACCAGGTGCATTTCCTCTTTTCCTGGGCGGGTTTCGAATCCGCTCTCGTGTCAAAATGTTCAAAAAAAAAAAATTATTAGTTGCTTTTAATAATAAAATTAAGTATACTAATATCATTTTTATATAATATTAATAATAGTTTATGTGTCCTTCACCATGATTATTGTTTATCAAGGTTTGGATTGAGTTATTTATTTCAAACAAAGAATCCCACTCACACTCGCGTTGGAGCCCCTGCATCAACTTTCTTCAATTTTAACTCTCTTTTTTGGCTCCATACCAATAAATCCATTATACAAAATATATATAAAAAGTTTCGACTTTAAATTTTAAAAGTTTAAAAAGATTTTATTTTATGGAAAATTTGTTTTATGAGATAGATGGTATATAATTTATTTTGTAAAATAATTTAAATGTTTTTAATTTTAATTTTATATTATTTTATTAAAAATATTTAAGTAATTTTTTAAAATAAATTACATATAATATATCCCATAAAACAGTTTTATGTTAATTTATTTATAAAACCGATTAAGATTGGTGGGGTTAGAGACTGCAGAGTTCGAACCCGGTTCTTGAACTTAGTAGGGCCACTGTTACCAAGCGAGCCTGTCGTCCTGTGGGTGTGTTGTCTCTAAAAGTATATTTAGTTTTAAAAA